AACATAGCAAATGCTATGTAATCTTTGATTGTTATTTTTAGTTCTGCTGTTATTACTCACGTATTGCTCTTTGAGGAAGTTTAGTGATGAAATAACGGACAAACGGGCACTTAGGGGCCGGGGTGATCTGAAGATGGGGAGAGCTGGGTACACTGACTCACGCACAGAGTGGAGGAAATCCGTGAGAAGAGAAAGAAGGACAGGGGAGTAATTCTGGGTACAATCCTGTACTACTAATGTGGCATCAGCTGCCCGCTTTAGTAAATAACTCCCTTTCACTTGCAACAGCTAATTAAGTAATTTCTGGAGGCCAGAAGTGACTTGGGCTGGATTTAATGACAGCCCCTCCACAGATCAAAAAGTTCAAATCCTTTCTCTGTGTCATAATCTCAAATCTAAAAGAAAGAAAAGACCAAACAAACCAAACTCCTAAATACATAGTACCCAATCTCTTTAAAGTGACACCTCCCCATATTTATGTGAATGGTCTGCTCTCAGTCTCAGCCGCACAAAAGTCATGTGAACGCTAGTGCGAAAATGGAAGGTGGTTCCCAGAGTTCTGGCTGGTCATTACAGACTCAGGGAATTTTCATCAAAGACAGAAACCCAACAAAATGTAAATAACTGTGTAATCTGCAGGGATCAGTGCCCTGCTGGGCGATTTTCTCACAAGGGTAGACATTGTAAGAGACTTCCTAAGAATCAGAATGCTCCTTCTGACAATTTATTTTAGCTCCTAGCTTTTCTTTCCAGGAGGCAAATCAGTGCAACTTCTTTCTGCCTTTGTTTCATTTTGGTAACAAGCCTCAATTTTCAGACAGGCTTCACCCGGCTACCCTATCCGAGACAATGAGGTTGCCACCTCATTGGGTAGATGGATTTTTTGATAACTACTAGTAAAAAACAAATGAACAGCTGATCGAGCTAAGAATAGCAGGTTGGATTGATGGTGTGGTCTCAGCAGTTGGGAGCTCAGGAGGGTAGGACATCACAGAATAAGGTTGGCTGGCTCACTGCGAGCCCCCAGAACAGAGGGCAGGGTGGGCCAGCACAGCACCCGTGAACTTGAACGACCATATTGCCATACGCCACGCCCACAGGGATTTTTTTTTACTCTATCCACCTACTCATCCATATCGTTTCGAATTGATGAGGACTTTTAAAAGTACAACCGCAGTGCCATTAACATAACCAACAAAGTCAATAATAATTATGTAATATTATCTAATACCCAGTCCATGCTCAATTTTCTCTGGTTATCTCAAAAATGACTCTTATAAAGTATTTATTCAAATCACAAACAATATCCACACATTGCATTTAGCAACGAGTCTCTGAAGTCTCTTTTAATCCAGAACAGTCACAGGAGTTTTCTGTCTTTATCTATCTATCTATCTATCTATCTATTTAGGTATTCATTGAATATAAAATGCTTCCAAAGAGATTTAAAAAAAAAAACACAAATCCAAAAGGTTCATAATGAAATATCCCTCAGTCTCCTTCTCCAGAAGCCATTACCAGTTTCATGTATGGTACTTCTAGAAATAGTGTCTGCCTGGATAAGCATGCCTGGCCCTAAGGCTGCTGTAGCACGGTGGTTAAGAGTGAGGACAGGAGTTCGAATCTCCACCGCTTACTAAGTATAAATCTGGGGTATGTTACCACATCCCTGAGCTCCAGTTTCTTCCCGTGGGAGGTGGGATGTTGAAAGAATTAAATCAGATAAGCATTTAAATTATTTGTTAATATATACATTCCCCTTTGGCTTTTTTCCAAATGATAGAATGGTGCACATTTCTACTTGTTTTTTCCATCTAACATATTTTGATAATAATTACATATATATTCTTTTTTTTAAATTTGAAAGAGAGAGAGCGCGTGCGAGAGAGCGCACACGTGCAAGCAGGGGAGAGACAGAGGGAGAGAATCTTAAGCAGGCTCCACATTCAGCACAGAGCCCAATGCAGGGCTCGATCCCATGACCCAGGTATCATGCCCTGAGCCAAAATCAAGAGTCAGACGCTCAACCAGCAGAGCCACCCAGGTGCCCCCTTACCTGTTCTTACAGATTCACATCATTTGGAATATTTTCTTCCCTTGGCTTCTCTTCAGTCCCATCCATGGATTTGTTCCTAACTCACAAGATCACTTTCTCAGTCTCCTTGGCTGGTTTCTCGTCTCTCCTGCGCAGGGAAATGTGGAGTCCGAGGGTCCGTCTCTTCTCTAACTACAGTTTCTCCACAGGTGATAGCCATTCCTCTGGCTTCAAATACCAGGGTGGGGCCGTGGAGGGCCCTAGTCCTAAAACATAAGGAGACATTCACTCTCAGGCACTTTCAGGTGCAGAGTTAGCCCCGGAGAGTGACTATCCCCTTAAACTGCATGCCCTACACACCTTGCTCACCTTTTCCTGGTTCCACCTCCCAAAATACCTCGACCTTCTCCCCAGACTTCCAGACACATAAATCCTATTTGGCACCTCTACTTACATATCTTAAGCAGACCTCCTGCCTTATTTCCCACTCCCATGCCCAAACCCACACCTTCTCCTTGTCTGCATCAGTGAACAGCATCACCATTTATTCCATTGCTTACCCTTGATTCCTTCCTTTTGACAAGTCCTATCTTCTATCTCCAAGATAGGTTCCAAATCTGATAACCTCTCACCTCCCCCAGCTGCTATAGCTTAGGCCAGGCCCCCTGCCTCTTGGCACTGTGAACACTCCCTGCCCCCGGTCTCCCTGCTTCCGCACTTGCTTCCTCCCTCCCCCTCCCCCCTTGTGCACACAAGGCAGCAGCCAGAGTGATCTTTTCAGATCATGAAGGAGACTGTGTCACTCTCTTACTTAACCCTTCTCTCCTCCCAGTGGCTTCCTAGTGAATTTTGAATTAAAACCCCATGCCATGGGGCGCCTGGGTAGCTTAGTCGGTTAAGCGTCCAACTTTTGCTTAGGTCGTGATCTCACGGTTCGTGGGTTCGAGCCCCATGTCGGGCTCTGTGCTGACAGCTAGCTCAGAGCCTGGATCCTGTTTCAGAGTCTGTGACTCCCTCTCTCTCTGACCCTCCCCTGCTCACGCTGTCTCTCTCTCTCCTAGAAATAAATAAAAAACATTAAAAAAAAAAAAAAAAAACCATGCCTTACCATGATCACATGGTCAGAAGACCAGGATCCAGCAGGTGCCACAATGATCCCAGCCTAGCAAGCTCACTTCTGCGCCCTATTGCCCGCCAGGTTCACTGCTGCCCCAGTGGTGTTCTTCTCCCTGGAATGTTCTTCCCCAGATCTTTAAACAGCCACTGCCTTCTCAGCATTCAGAGGCCAGCTCAGGAATAACTCTGCTGACCACCCACATCCATTCACTCAACCACTCAAAATTCCATTACTTTGTTTCATTTCCCCATGGCATTAGCACTATCTGAAAGTGTCTTGCTGTTACCATTGCATAACAGCCTCCCGAAGCTCAGGGGCTTAAAACAAAAATTTATTAGTTCCATTGGGCAGTTCTTGATTGCACTGAAGTGAAATAGCACCCGGGGCTGGAGTCATCCAGAGGCTTTTTGGAGCTGGATGTCCAAGACTCTTCCCTCCCGTGTCTGGTGCTCCTCTGGGTGGCCTCTCTCTCCAGCAGAGTAACTTGGACTTCCTGCATGACAGCTGAAGCCTCCAAGAGGAAAAAAAAAAAAAAGGAATGGCTGGTCTTCTTATATAGGCTAGGGTTGGAATTGGCACCTCTCATTCTGCCATAGTCAGGTGGTCAAAGCAGTCATAGGCCAGCCAAGGTTCAAGGGAATTGGGGAATAAATTCTACCTCTTAAAGGAGAAGTGACATGTATGTAGAAGGAGAGAAGGAATTGATGGAAGCCATCTTTGGAGATAAGCTATCACATCTATTTGTTTACTTGTTAATTATCTATTTGCTCCCATTAGGCTATAATCTCCAACGGGGAGACCTTGCTTATCTTGTTAATGACTCCATGTCCAGCAGTGAAAACAATGCCCAGCACACACTAGGTGCTCAGTAAATAAAGAAAGCACTCAATAAATGTTTGGGAACCTTAAATGGGCTGCACTACACTTCTCCAGATTGGTCTTGCCAGGTTTGCTGATGCTAAGCATACTGATGCCTCGCCAGATAAGAGAAACCCTACCATTTATAAAGTATTTCATTTCCTCTGCAAACAAAAAAAACTTGCCCTGAACACAAAATCCCGAAATAGATTTGGCAGGTTTTCTAAATGGAAAATATTTCTTGTATCACCAGAAATTATTTTCCCACAGCTTGTGCTACATCAAAATACTGAAATTGACTGAAAATACCCCATTTCTTAATCTTGGTGTGGACTAGAAACAATGTTTTCTTGTTTGGTAGTAAAACAAACAGAAATAATTCCTGATGTTGGAACTCCCCCAGCTATCCCCAAACCAAAAATGCCATTTCAAGGTATAATTTTTAAAAATGGGAGCGCCTGGGTGGCGCTCAGTCGGTTAAGCATCTGACTTCAGCCTGGGTCACAATCTCACGGTTTGTGGGTTCGAGCCCCGCATCGGGCTCTGTGCTGACAGCTAGCTCAGAGCCTGGAGCCTGCTTCAGATTCTGTGTTTCCCATTATCTCTGCCCTTCCTGCACTCACACTGTCTCCTCTCTCAAAAATAAACATTAAAAAAAAAAAGTCTATTGAGAAACGTCATTAAAAGTTTGGTCATCAACAGGCTTTTGGTTGTAAAGCCGGCACTTGTTTATTTAAGTAATCACAGAGGACCAAGGGTAGAAAAAGTTCCTTCAAATCTCTTCTTTGTTGGTCTTTACTGGTGAGTTCTAGAAAATAATCCTGTGTTTAAACCTTTTTCTAAATCCCTTGTAAATTAGTAAGTGAGAAAGTATTCCTCTGAAGGATTTGGGTGATTTTTGAGGTTAAAAATAAGAGGGATTTAATTTTTGAAATTACATTTGCCGACTATCACTAATGACATTTCCTCTCATCTTTGTCTTACCTTTAGTTTTCCCAGATTTGCTCAAAGTGATCCCCTTGAGCATCCACATCAATGTCATTGTCTTCTCCATGATCCTGGTTGTTTTAACCATGGTGGGAACAGCCTTCTTCATGTATAACGCTTTTGGCAAGCCCTTTGAAACCCTTCACGGCCCACTAGGGTTGTATCTTTTGAGCTTCATTTCAGGTGGGTACAAAATTCTACTTCGGAAGACAAATGTTCTTGCCAGTGTGTCAAAAGACAGGTCTACCTAAATGTAAAGTTATAGTTCATATAGATGGATGTCCACTGTAGTGTTATATATATGATCACGAAAGTAGAGAAAAATATAATGATCCAACGATAGGAAACTCGAGATACACGTTCTGATACTCTGTATGAATAAATGGTGGTGACATTAAATTATATTTTGAAGATGTAATCAAAAGGATGCATGCTTTGTATCAAAAAGTTAAGTGAATAAAACAGTGTATGAGTTTATAAATATATATATACATATAGACTATATGTGTATATATATATAAGTATGTATATTGTATATATACTCTCTCAAGCCTCCATATAGATACACAGAAAGAGAGAGAGAGAGAGAGACCATTATATCTGTAGTAGTTACTTCTGAGCAGGGAAATGATGTGTGATTTTTCACTTTTTCTCATATTGTTTAATGTTTCCAAATATTCAATAGTGTGTTTTTATTTATTCATAATCAGAAAAATAGGGGCACCTGGGTGGCTCAGTTGGTTAAGCCTCTCTTGATCTCAGCTCGGGTCTTGATCTTAGGTCATAATCAGAAAATTAAATAAAAATCATGCAAAGAAAGTGAAGGGCCAGTGTTCTGCCCACATGAGCTGTAAAATTCAAGCCCATAGGTTCTTTGTGTAGCCTAATGATTTGTGCATCTGGGAAAAAAATAAAGTCTAAACTCAGCCATCCGTTCATCAATAAACATGTCCTACTCAGTAACTGAGCTGGTGGAAAAGAGTACAAATCCCAGGTAGTGCCTCAGGATGCTTAGGATATAGTTACAAGGAGAAGAGAAAGTGAGCAAATAAAAAATGTATACATAACTCATGCGTAGCCTTTTTTCTATAGGACGCCTCTCATTCCACCCCACTTCAGACTTGCAAAAAGACTTGGTACTTTGTCATAGTCCCAGGAAGCATCCATAGTTCTGTTAATGATTCCACAGAGAGATGAGAGAGGTTACAACTCACACCAGCAAACGGTGGATTGAAAATCCCTGCTAGAGAGGCACCTGAGTGGCTCAGCTGATTAGGCATTGACTCTTGATTTTGGCTCAGGTCACGATCTCAAGGTTTGTGAATTCTAGCCCCGTGTTGGTGTCTGTGCTGACAGTGCAGAGCCTGCTTAAGATTCTTTGTCTCCCTCTCTCTCTACTCATGTTCTCTCTCTCTGTCTCTCTCTCTCTCAAAAATAAATAAATAAACATTTAAAAAAAGGAAAGAAAGAAAATCCCCATTAGACTGTTTCCTTCTCTTCTGATTGTTGCCCTTCAACTGCCACCAGGGCCCTTCTTTGTCTGGACACTGCCCCCTCCCCTAGCACAAATCAACTCCAGCCACAAACTTGCAAAGCTCCCTCTCTGTAAAACAGAGCCTTGTGCTTAACAGGGGCCCGCTCACCTGGCAACACCCTCCAGGCTCCTTCCATTAGTACTTGAGCGCACTTCTCGGAGTCTTGCCTCATTCACATCTTGCTAATCAAATAAGTCACTTAACCAAAGCAGTTCTCTCTCTTGTGGGGGTTCCGCTAAGATTTTGCCCATGTCTTTCACAAGCACAACACAGTTCTAAACTGTGCGGGAAGAACGATCCTATGAGGCCAGAGTCAAAGTCTTTCTCATCTTGGTATCTCCAGCAAGGGCATCCGGCGTGAGGCTCTGCGCACAGTAAACATTTCAATACGTGCCTGTGGATCTGAAAAATTGAACCCAGAAGGGGGTGTTAGCTGGGGCACTTAGTACAGGTTAGAGAAGTCAGAATTCAAACGGATGGGATTAGCAGAGCAGGCCCACAGAGGCAGAGGGAAAGGGCCGCAGAGAGATGGGATGAGATACGTAAAGGAAGGCTGAGGGCCTCGAGATCAGGGCAGAGGAGCAAGAACACAGGTACAGGGTGTGGACAGAGTGATTTAATCTCACAGGTCCAGGTGAGAAGTGGATGCTGGCATTAACTCTCTGCTCCCCCAACAAAACAAACGGAGCTGGTAGACCTGGGTGGCGTGCTATTTTAGCAAAGGCCATTAAATCAATCAGAGGCTAGCCAGGAAACAGAACACACACTGTTTTCCCGGAGGGAATATAAAGCTCAACAGTGGTTCTTAACGTGAGGTCCCCAGACCGGGAGGCTTTGCCTCACCTGGGAACGTGATAGAAAAGCAAATTCTCAGGCCCCATCCCAGGCCTGCTCCTGCATCAGAAACTCTGGAGGGGGAGGGGGGGCCCAAGAATGAGTTCAACAAGCCTCTCCCGTGATTTGGATGCAAGCTCTTGAGGACCAGGGCGGTCAGGACTGATTGAACAGGTGTTAGAGGACCGGCCGCACAGAAAGGAGACCCTGGGGTAACTCCGAGACGGCGTGCTCAGACAGCAGCTGCCATTTCCAGGGCTTAACGATTTGAAGGAACAGTCTGGAGTTACCAGAACCTGGAGGCTTGAGAGAGGCTGGGGCGCTTGGTCTCAGACCTTTGAGGAGATGACAGTGTCGCATAACACCTGCAGCCGCTCTGGGAGGGTAGAGGGGGCTGGGAAGTCCCCAAGTGCTCCGGCCCGCTCATGTCCCCTCTCCACAGCTGTCTACTGACAGAGCATCACAGAAAGCAGCTGACAAGGCAGACTAGAGACGGGGGAGTCTTGACCCAGCATCACAAAGCAGAGAAAAAACGAGCTGGTTCGAAGCCGAGATACAACAGCTTATTAACTGGCACAGCCATCTTGCACTCCAGCCTCTGAATGAAATTCAGAAGAGCAGCCCATTTGGAAGACAAATTATTTGACAGTTCTAACGGACGACCAAACTAACGGTATTTGAAAAGCAAGATGACTCAGAGAATGCAGAATTTAATCCAAGTCCCAGATCTTATCTCAGCCCTTGGCCAAATCTAATGCGAAGCAAACCTGAGCAGAGAAATATATGCGGGAACACACAGACCCTGCGCTTACATTGTACCTTATTTATCTTTGAACTTGTTGCAAAAGCAGGCCCTCAATAAGGGTTTGTGGATGAGGGAAGGAAGAGACAGGGAGAAAGGAAAAGAAGGAGCTAGCTTCAGATCTGTCTCGCAGAAGGTAAAGGACTAGTGTTTGCACGTCGTCTCCTTTTTAAAAGCCCCAAATCCTTATGTTTCAATACCAAAAATTTCAATCACTTTTTTAAAAAAATATTTTTATTTATTTCTAGGAGAGAGAGAGACAGCGTGAGCAGGGGAGGGTCAGAGAGAGAGGGAGATACAGACTCCGAAATAGGCTCCAGGCTCCGAGCTGGCAGTCAGCACAGAGCCCGACGCGGGGCTCGAACCCACAAACCGCGAGATCATGACCTAAGCGAAAGTCGGACGTTTAACCGACTAAGCCACCCAGGCGCCCCTCAATCACTTTTTAAAAACTGCATGACAACAAAACGTGTCGGGGTCAAATGGACGGATGATTTGTGACCTTTGGGGGTAAACAGATCACTCTTGAAAAACAGACTCCCTCCTTTGGCTTCAGTGTACATACAGTAACCAGAAGCCCCTGGAGTTTTGGAAATGTTTATCTGAAGTTGCAATGTTCATGAAGATCCCAGCTCTAAACCCTCATCGTGGAAGGATGGGGATGACGGTCTTATCAACAAACACGGTAACTATGAGCCAACAGATAAACACACAAAGAGGGGACAGCATTAGGAAGTCATTTTGTTCCCGTGTGAGTCGCACTCCATTAAAAGCCCCTCTACTGGCTGCCGTGGGGGATGTGGGGAGGGGCAGCTCTTTTCCACTGAGTCTCCCCCCTTGTTTCTCTGCCTAGGCGGCCTTCCTCACAGCAGAGAAAATTCCTTCCTTCTTGGACCTCCTTTCTCTTCTTCTCCTACTCACCTCTGGGCTCTCCAAGACTCCCCCTTTCCTTGTACTGATATCGTTTGGACCTGTCTATTCCCTTGCTGGATGGGGACCCAAGGCTTGGCATCCTGAGGTATGAAGATGGGGGAGAAGGTAAAGGGAAGAGGCCTTCCTTCCACACTGCCGGAGTAGCAGCGCTATGAGCCTCTCCTTATGTGTCCCAGTGCACATGCCAGACCCTAGGCACAGAGAAGGAAAGGGAACACACCTTTGGATTAGGCCACCAAAGGTTTCAGCCCCCAGAGCTTGCTCATGCTATGGCCTCATAGCCTGTTGCCCTCCGGGACCAGACACTCCTTCTACTACTTACGGCTTCCAGTTTGGTTCATCATATTCCTCAGCCCTCTTCATGTAGCATCTCTGTCCACCATCACTGTTCATGAAGCACAGGCAACTCTGTTCACTCTCTCTTTCTCATCCTGTCAGTTACAAAATTTTTTTTAAATGTTTTATTTATTTCTGAGAGAGAGAGAGAAAGACAGCATGAACAGGGAAGGGTCAGAGAGAGAGGGAGGTACAGAATCTAGAATAGGCTCCAGGCTCCGAGCTAGCCATCAGCACAGAGCCAGACACGGGGCTCGAACCCAAACCGTGAGATCATGATCTGAGCCGAAGTTGGACGCTTAACCGACTGAGCCACCCAGGCACCCCACATCCTGTCAGTTATAAAATAGAATTGAGAAATCATTTGCCAAGTTAGGATTTTAGTAATACCTTTATGGGCTGCTTTAGTTCATTTCGGGCAGTGATTTTTTTTCGGACTATACATTAAGATCACTTGGAAAACTTCCTAAAAATGCTGATGCCAGACCCCATGCTACACTAATTAAATTGGGTTCTCTCTTGGCGGGGCCTGGGTACAGGTGTGTTTTCTGAAGCTCTGTCAGGTAATTCTAATGTGTCACCAGTGTTGAGAACCACTGATTTAGGTGCATGTATCCCCCTTACTCAACAAATGCTGGGAAGTGCCCACTATGTGCAGGCCATGATAATAAGGCACTGGTGATGCCACAACCAATCAGGGACACACAGTCCTGTAGCCTACAGTCTCTCGGGAGAGTCAAACA